GTAGATGGCTCTCCACGCCGGTGTGCCAGGCTCGTCCAGGTCGGTGACAGCCAGCCGGGCCACCTCCCGCCCGGCCACGTTCTCCGGCACAGCTGCCTCGTACTGCGGGTCAGGGCCATTGTCAGCACCACAGCCTGGAGGGCACTGGGGAGGGTCCCACCCGGTGGGGGGGCCAACATTTACCGTTTTGGGGTCGAACTCAGGGGCGTTGTCATTGATGTCGGCGATCTCAATGACAGCCAGCGCCGTGGTGGTCAGTCCCTCGCCATCCAGGTCGGCCGCCTGCACTGTCAGTGTGTACTCCCGCACACGCTGCCGGGGATGGAGAGACAGACAGACACCCCGTCAGCCCCCTGCCTGGGGCTGGGACCCCTACCCTGCAGTGCCACAGAACACACCTCCCGGTCGAGGCCACTGGCGATGACGCTGAGGGTGCCGGTGCCCCGGTTGACAGTGAACATTTGGGGATGGGGCTCCCGTGGCTCCTGGCTCAGGATGGAGTAGGCAATGACACCATTGTAGGTTTCCACTGCATCATCCGCATCCGTGGCTGTCACCTGCATCACGGAAGTGCCTGGGGATGGGGATGTCTCGGTGAGTGGGGTGTGGGGGGACGGTCCCAGGGCTGTCCCTGAGGGATGTGGCTGGTAGGATGCAGAGCTCCCCCAAGGCTCAGGGTCCTACCCGGCAGAGCTCCCTCCAGCACAGAGCCCCTGAACACCTCCTGCGTGAACTGGGGCTTGTTGTCGTTCTGGTCCGTCACCGTCACAATGATCTCCATCGGCTCCTCCACTGGCTTCCCATTCTCAGACACGGCGTGGGAGAAGAGCTGTGGGGCAGGGGGGTGAGTAGGGGATCTGGCACGGTACTCTGACACCCCCCAGCGCACCCCAGCAGGGACCTACGTGGTACTTGTCGATGTGCTCACGGTCCAGCGGCTGCGTCACCTTCATCCAGCCTGACTCCTTCTCAATGGTGAAGATGCCCTCGGGGGGGGCATCCGCTCCCTGCCCTGTGATGCTGTAGAAGATCTTGGTGTCTCTGTCCCGGTTGGATTTGATCTGGGAGGACACACGGGGAGGGGGTCAGTACCCCCCACCACATCACACCCTGCCCCAATGCAGTGGGCATGGACATCCCAGCACCCACCTCTGTGCCCAGACCTCCAGCTCAGATCGACCCCCTCTTACCTGAACCAGTTTTTTGGGGAAGGGGCCCCTCTCGTTTTCAGGAACCTTGATGGGGGGGATCACCCAGTCCCTCTTCTGCCTCCTGAGAGCAGCGTGAGCCCCGGGGAGCTCCTGTGGGATGGGGGTGAGTGAGGGCACAGCTTGCTGGGGGGCCAGGGGATGGGGAACACAACAGGGCAGGATTACCTGGGGGGAGCGCCTGCTCTGCATGGGAACTGGAACAGGGTCCGGCTGGCCGGCGTCATCCCAGGGGGAATCAGCATCTGGGAGGGGTACGGCGAGTGCTCTGCCCACCCTCGGCAGTTGCATGGGGCCCGTGTCCTCCTGCACCCCAACATTGCACTCCTCGGTCCCGCACGGCCCCGTGCAGCCTCCGGAGCTCCCTGCGAGGGTGGAGGGTCAAGAGGCTGGGAGGGGACCTATCCCCCAGCACTCCCAGGCAGCAACCACCAGCTCCAGGACTCGCAATGCCCCAGAGTCCCGAGGCAGAATGGGGCAGGGGACAGTGGGAGTGGGGCAGGGGACAGTGGAAGCGGGGTAAGGGACGCCGGGAGCCGTACGGGAGTGCAGTGGGGGAGTGCAGTGGAAGTTTCGGTGGAAGTTTCGGCTTTGTTTCACAGATGATGGGAAATTCCTGGGCGGGCAGAGCCCTGCCCCAGTCCCCTCCCGGTGATGTGTCACCCCCCTAGGGGCTCCCAACCCCCCGTGGCCAGGACATTGGGCTCTGAATCTCCCTCCCCCCCTCCCACGCTGCATCCCCCGTGCTGGACACGGCCCTGACTCCGCACCCCCCCGGGGCCAGGATTAGGGGATTAGCGGAGCTGAGCCAGCTCTGGGCGGCCGAGCGGCTCGGGGGGGTCGGGCAGCGGGGCTGAGGGGGCTGCGGGAAGCATGGAATGAGGCAGGGAGAGCTGTGCTCCACGGCTGCCTCACACCGGGCAGGCAGCGAGCCCGGGGGCTCAGCGGCCGAGCCCCGAGGGCAGTGCCGGGGCCCCTCCCAGCCGCGATGGACGCGGTAAGGGGGGCTGGAGGGACCTCATTCACCCTGGGAAACAGGTCTGGGGAACAAGGAGCCCGGGGAAGCCCCCAGCCCCGGCCGTGGGGAGCCCTCAGTCCTCATCTGTGCCACACGTCACTTCTCCCCACCGAAGGGCCAGGCGGCACAGGGGGTAACCCCACCGTGCCCCCGGGGTCCCTCCTTGCAGAGCCCACATGGCACCGCGCCCGCTGGGTGCCGAGGCGGAGCCCTACGGTTGGTGCCTGGGCCATGTGCTGCCCACGGAGGGGGGTCGCAGTGGCATGGCCAGACCCCAGCCCCTGCCCACGGCGGGGGCCTGGCAGTGCCCAGCTCCGTTCCTGGCAGGCTCAGCCGATGGAAGCGAGATGAGAAGCGGGATGTGGTAGCGGAGGTCGAGGCCTCTCCCTGGCACTTACCGCCAAGGAGAGCTTTTAGTGCCCCCCCGGCCATTAGCTGAGCGCTGGCTCCGGCCGCGTTCCCAGGCAGCCCCAGTCCCCCAGGAGCCTCCAAGCGAAGAGGGCAACAGGCCCAGGCCAAGCGCCAGCACCGGGCCAAGAGCTGGCAGGGAGACCCTGCCCAGCTTCGGCCCCTACCCAGCCCTGAGTCCCTGTGCCAGCTCGGGCCCCTGCACGGCCTCGGGCCAGCTGGACCCCGCACGCTGTTGCCGGAGAAGGGTAGCCCCGAGGCCATCCCGATGGCCAGCGCGGCGCTGGGCACCCACCCTGCGGAGACCCACCCCTGCTGCCGGCGGGTGCCCCATGGCTGGGCCAGAGGCGTCGGCATCGCCGCCACCAGCCCCGTGGGGCCAGACAGGCATCACCAGTCCCACAGGGCACCGCCAGCCCCATGGCCAAGTCCCACAGCCCGAGGAGGGGGGCATTGCCCTATAGCGAGCCCCACGGCCCGGAGGGCCACAGCCCTAGAGCGCAGGAGCCCAGCCGGCCCCATGGCGGAGTCCCACACCCAGGGACCCCCGCCAGTCCCACACCGGGTTCTCCTGCCAATCCCACACCCGAGGTAGTGCGAGGTCCCCGCGAAAAGCAGCGGCTCCACGGCCGGGGGCAAAGTGGGCCCGATCCCGGCAGCAAGGGGGGCCCTGCCGCCCCCACAGCGCCCGTAGCCCCGATCCCGGCCCCGATCGGGGCCCCAGCCCGTCCTCGGATAGCCCCGGGGGTTCCGGTGCCGCCGCGCCCCGACGGTGCGGTTACCTGGTGCGGAGAACAGCTCGCGGCGCAGCCCCGGGGGGGCGCACGGCGGGGCCGGGGAGGGGGCGGCTGCCGGCAAGAGCGGGGGGAGGAGGAAAAGGATGAAGATGGAGAGCGGGCAGAGCCCGGAGCGCGGCCCCCGCATGGCCCGTCCGCTGCTTCTGCCGCCGCCGCCGCTCCGGTCGCCGCCCGCCGCGTCCCGCCCCGTCCCGCCCAGGTGAGGCGGTGGCCGCGCAGGTACCGCCCCGCCCCGCCCCGGAGACCGGCCCCAGCACCCTCCGGGCATCCCCCGGCAATCCCCGGGACCCCTCCATTATTCGCGGGACCCTCCGGCTACCTCCCGTTACCTCCCCGCCACTACTAGCAATCCCCGTTACACCTCTCTGGAAACCTCTGGCAACCCCTGATACAACATGGCACCCCCCGTTACCACCCGGGCACCCTTTCGGCAAGCTCCGGTACCACCCGGGCATCGCCGGTACCCCCTGGAAGTCCCTGGCAATCCCCGGTACCCTCCTTTATCCCGGGCACCCCCCAATACCCCTCGGGCACTGGCTGGTACTCCCCTGAGACCCCCTGGCAACCTTCGGTACCACCCAGGCACCCTCAGCATCTCCCGGGAACCCTCGGGCACCACTTGGTAGCCTCTTGGAAGCTCTCGGCAACCCTGGACAATCCGCGATAACCCCCCACCCCGTTAAGCCCCGGTCACGCCCCGTTACCCCTTGGGGACGCCCCCGGCACCCCTGGGGCACCCATCGGTATCCCCCTGGAAACCCCCGGTAGACCCGAACAACCTTCGGGCACTGCTCGGTACCGGTCAAGCAGCCTCCTGTATCTTCATGCCACCCCCTGGTGCCCCCAGCCCCTCTGCACGGCCCCAAGGACACGCCCGGGCATCCTGGTATCTCTGAGTACCTTCCTGTTACCACCGTGCATCCCTCCAGGTGCCCCCATGAACCCCGGAACCCTTGACCTCCCACCACCACCCCCTGCAGGAACCCCCCAGGGCACTGTCCCTCGGGGGCCACAGGACCCCCCCCACTCCAGCAGGGTTGGGGTGCAGACATGGTCCCCCCCCGGGGGTCCCAGTGCAGGCCTGGGGGTCCTGTGCAGCCATAGGCGGCAGAGGGGGAGGAGGCACCGGGATTAGCAGGAGGAGATCGGGGGGGGGG